GCATGTTTCTCCCCTTTTTTTATTTTTGTTCCCCCCCCCCCCCCCCCCCCGAATGCAAATTTTTTATTAAAATCCATAGGAGTCTCAACAGGTTTGCATCCCAGCGTTCCTTTTTCTTTTAGTTGTTCTACAATGTACCTTTTTTATGATAACTTAATTCCCACCTTGGACCTGGTCACTTCCATGCCCAACAAGAATCTCATCGCTTCTAGATCTTGAATTTTAAATTTAATGGCAAGAATATCGTTAATCTTTTCCATTTCTTTTTCATCGTCATCTATTACAACCAAAGAGCATAACCACAAGATCACTGCGCATGAAAACCTCCACGCACGACAAGCCTTTCTATCCCTCTTACCTGAGCCATTCCAGTCCTAAACTGCAAAGGTTCAGCAACTGAAGGTATCACCCTTTTGTTTGTACTCTCACAAGAACCAAACTGAGCCGCTCTACTCTACATTTATTCTCTATCTATTGTTGCATGTTTCACCCTTTCCCTAATTTGATCAGCTCCAACCTCCCAAAACCTATGTCACTCTTGTTCACGCGACCCAACTCCCACCAACACTCATTGTTCTGCTCTTATTGCTCTTTGTTCGAAAAGCCCGACGCAGAATTGCAACTCAACTCTCTGCTCTACAGATCTCACACACCTCTAAACCAATGAGCTCACTCCATTTTCAATGTCCATTAGCCCCACATCTTCATCCTCCATCCAAACTGAAAACCTCTGAAAGAATTCGTGTGATCCTTTCTCCCCTAACCCAGAACCAAAGACTTCTTATTTGAGTCGAAGATCGTAGTCACTGATTCCTTTCCTATCCACAGAAGTCTAAACAGAGCCTTCAATGGCCTTTCTGTTTGTTTTTATGGTCGCGCAATGTATTAAAAAAGAAAGAAAAAACTTTCTGCGTTGTATTCGCTATAGATCATCACCGTCAATATCATCGTTTTGCTCAAAAAAGTATAAAAATGGGGCTATGCGATAATTTTTAAAATGCTCATTCAAGGAAGTGCGGGTATCCATCCTTAGGAATTAAGTACCACTCGGGAAAATCGCGAACTCATTTGAATTTTTTTTAAAAATTAGGGGTTTTCAGTTACACGTCCTGGAAAACTCGAGCACCGGTCCTTGAGAATTAAGTATCATTCAAGGAGAGCAAAAATACTACTGATGGAGGCGGGTGGCCTTTTGATGAGAAAAAAAATACTAAAAATTTGTTATTTATGTTTGGTTTTAGGTAGAAAGACGTAATGTGGAGGTTTTGGTGTAAAGTTAAAAAATTACAAGGAAATGGTAGCTAAAATACCAATATTAGTCTAGATTATGCTAGTTTGGACTGATTTGAAATATCTCTATAGAAAAGTGGTTTAAGAATGAGTAAATGTCTAGAAATGATTATTGGTAGTTAACTTAGAATATTTACTTATGGTCTGGAGTAGATGGGTGGGTTTGGATGAGCTTACAATGATGTTTAGGGTTAGGGAACAAGTCTAGGTCTTAATATGTTTTTGCTTGACCAAGAGCTATGAAGAGGGGTTTGGAATAGTTGTGAGGCTTTGATTGTTGGTTTGTTGATATTATAAGGAGCTTAAGATATGAATGAGGTGTGGTGAGGAATTTAAGAGCAAGTGTTATGGAGAATAATGAATAACCTAAAATAAAAGCAGACATAAATATCAAATCTCACAGAAGAAAAGGTAACAC